CCTGGTCCTTCTCGGTATTTCGTACTCTGCACTAACCCATTCCGCGGCACTATACGGCGCAGACCCGATCCGTACCACAGAGGTGGGTACTCTATTTAGTAGATCAGCAAGCAAATATATGGAATATTCGATAGTAACAGTGTTTTGTCAACACCGGCCCGAATTGACTCAGCACATATCTTCCATTGTCGACTTACTTGGCCCAAGCTTCAAACGGGAATTTACTGACCACTTCTTCCCATCAATCTTTCCTGAACCACTACAGCGACTATGAGAGCCATACCATATGTTCATACATTGTATCATACATACTTGCCATTTTTGAAATAAATAATATTATCCCTATGAGCCTAACGTGTTTAGTTCTATGTGGCTCATATCAAATACGTCGCTTCCGGATTCGATATGCATGCCCTGGAGAGATCTTCTGTTGGAGCTCCCAGCTCGTTCCATGTTGGTCGAACTCAAACTTGATTTGCTGCAGAAGCCTCTTGCTGGCTTCGTGCTTTCTCCATACCTTAGACTTGGCCCGGACGGATAAATATAGTGGTAGTATTATTTCGTGGTTTTAGGGTCAAAGGTTTTCTTTGGATCTAGGGCAATTTTCTTAGGATCAATAATAGACATTGGTGCTGGAGTAGGTCTATACGCCTTGGTAAGAGCTAATTAGCGCTCCTTCTTGTTTGCTTCCTGTAGATATTTGGAAACTTCTGGTGTGTAAGCTTTCTGCGATCGGATTTTGTTGCTGATGTATGCTGCCTTTGCAGCGAAGTGCGTGACACGTATCTTTTCAAAGTTATATGACGGTAACGAGGTCACCTAGTATTTCAAACAGAGCCCCACGCAAAGCCCGCTTCTGTTTACCCCGGCGTAGGCGGTTGTGATCCACTTGTTTGAAAGTAAAGGTAATAAAATTGACCCAAGTCTGTAGGTTTTTTAATTCTTCTTGAATCGGTGCGGCTTGAGATGCGTATAATGCAGGAAGTTCGATATCAGTCTGTTCTAGGCCGAGAGGAAATGATGTGTCTTGGCACCACAATCGCACCACAATCGGTTACCAAGACTTCGTGGTTCGCCTGTCGACCAGTCGTCTCCAACAGTGGGTGTGACGCACTTCTGGATTTAGCGGTGACTGTATTAGGAAATGTCAGCTAAGGGTGACTCCAGTTGATATATAGTGGTTTCGTCCGAGCCCGGAACACAGTAAACTGACGCTTTGATCTTGCGAAGAGTCCGTCTGGCACGTCCAATCTTGAGAAGAAATACGTCGTCGTCGTTTTTGTCTTGTTCGTCTCGTTTTTCATCGGTCATTTTCTCAGCGAAGATGTAAATGAGGGGTTATAGTTGGTTCACGCTTCAGTACGTTTTAATGTACAAAGGAAAAAGGATGAATATTATGACCATAATATACGTCCTTATATACGAAAAACGCTTGGCTTTTCCGTACAAAAGTACTACATCCGGGAGCGGGACGTTTCACACCCTTCTTTCCGGAAGTGGTACCCGAATGTTGAAGGAGTAAAATACTTCTGAAAACTACATATAAATATTTACTAACAATATTCAATTAAATTCAGCTGTAATCTATAGACTATAGGGCATAGGCAATAAAGGTACTTTATACAGTGTCTGTCGTGCAACATTTTTTATATAATTTCAATATTGGCAACAAGAAGCTGAATGCATTTCTTGAATATACCGCTTGCAGGATGGCGCCACAAACAATCGTGAAGAGACGATTACGATAATGTATCTTCATATTGCTACTCTCCGTGTCACAGTTATATCGATAATTCATGCCAACCCAACGAATGGTCCAGTTGTACGAGTTCGCACTACCGTCTCAGAGTCTCAAGATTATTCTCAGGTAGTTAGTACACTATCGAACTACAGATTAAGCCAAGTGGTTGTCCCGCGAAGAGATTCAGGAGCGAGAAGAAGCTATATTAGCCGCTGATACCATAAAGATACAGGATGGATTATTGAGAATAAGTCCCAGATGGGTGGAAGAAAAGTTACATATCGAGTTGATACAAATAAAGGGTCGATAGGATTCTGTACAGATACATGGAGAGCAGGATCAAATATCAACAAGTCAAGGGGCACCATTCAGCATTTTTGGCTTCAATCACCGTCTTATGGCTGAAATTGACATCACAGAATACTTCAGCCGGCTTCCTAGTGGTGCAGATAGCATAGGGTCCTTTCCACCGTGCATTGGAACAAGTATAATGCAAATGAACGTAAACGATGCTAGACAGGTCAAGCCTTACGACGATTTCTATGTATACTCATGCCTGGAAAGAAGATAGTTATACATTCTATGTAGATGGAAGGGAGACTGAAAAGATTATTGACGGAATCTCTCATGCCGCAAAGTATATGTTCTCAGTCCTCACGGGCGGTCTCGAGCACAAACACTGGCGTACCTCACGAGACCACCTCCCAGATAGTTTTGAGGTTGACTATGTCAGGGTGTACAACCCTAGTTAGTGAAGACAATTTCGCTTTTTATTCATAGGTGAAAGTGGACGTTGGGTTCACATGAGCCATTAGCAGACAAAGACTGAGAACTGAGATTAAGTATGGCTCAAAGTCGCATTTGCGCTTTTAGATGTCATTCCAATAGAATGAATATGCATAGATGTAATGCCCATATAGTTATGGATGACAGCTTAACGTCAATAAAAACTGGTATCTTATAGGACACAGCGTGTAAACCCGGAAGAGCGAGTTCTAGTATTGTTTAGAAAAATCATCGAGAAGCCTGAAGAATTTGCGGCCCCGGCGATATCGGTAAGCACGTTGTTTTGTATTTGGCTCGCCACAGCAACCAGCACTCTAGTCGAGCCGTGTGGTATCCTCCTCATCGTAAAGTTTGTGGTTTGTCGAGCCGCCATGGCTAATTTCGAGCCTTCACAGTTGATCGAGATTGATAAAGTTACACTTCACTTAATTGTAAAGTTTGTATATCTGGGAAATGTACAGCATGACACTTTTTTTGTCGGGCTTGGATCCCATATCCTCAGCATCAAGCATCCTGCACACTCCGTCATTCTTAAACGCCTGGAATGCTGTCTCCAAGTTTTTCAGTTTCTCTTCCTTCTTCAAAGCTTCCCACGTGTACCCGCACTTGTTGACACCCACCAAAGCAACTCCTAACGCGCAGAAGGCCATGCCATCAGCCCAGCTCTCTGAGAAATCCACGACATCCGCAAGTCCCTCAAAACCAAACAGCCGTGACTGACACCAGCGAAGGAGACTATCGGATGCACCGTTGCGTTTCACGGAAGCGGGCGATGAGGGTACTGAGCGGGCTCCGTTTTCGGCTGCACGGAATCTGTCAGCAGCTTTGAATGGGTTATCCGAAGGTTTCACGGATGTTTGCACACGACGAGACGTCTCGTTTGACGTGTTTGTGGGTACGCGCTGGGTCATGGAAACATTTTTCAACGTGGACTTATTGACCGACATGGCGTTACCCGATACGATCAAGAGCATGCGCGCTTCTTTGCTAACGCAAGGTTTACAGACAACCTCCCCGGAGAATGAAACGTAGGTATCACTACCGTCACCAGCGGAATTTGCAATGAGTGTATCACAATCTGTACATTTCGGGGAGGGTGGGGCTTTATCACTGCGCTTGGTAAATACAACGCGCTTAGATACACCGGCTACCAGCATAAGCGTAAGTAACTTCTCCACTTCTTTTGGACATGTTCCCTTTTGCACGTCTGCCATCTGTAAAAGGACATAAACGTCATAGAATGAACAACTCGCTCGGATACGTTTCCGATTTGTTCACACGCTTACCAAAATAAAGCAATTCATTGTACTCGAAGAAGCATGACTAAATCCCCTCCTTCAAGGCGAACACTGAGGCTAAACTGCTGAAACACCTGGATAACCTCACCAACGCAATTCTGAGTATACTTGATTTACGAACGAGGGACAATACTTCAAATCGGGTACCTACGTTTACGCTGGATATGTTGCAGCCAATAGCACGAGTGGAATTCTCGAGAAGCATGAAATTCTCTTCGATTGCAACTCTATCGAGATTTTTCGTATTGATGACTCGTACATCAATGGTATCTTTCACAGCGGCGTTGCACATCTTGCAAAGCATGATTCCGTCCTATATTTTAAAACAAGAGTGTAAACTGAATGAAGTACAATTCTCGTCTTGGTTAGCTTTGTGCAATACTTCATGTTGAAAGGTTTCATACTCGTCGCCTAAGTTACTGCTGTTTACAGCAGGTACAATACACACTCTCACAAACAGTATCGACCAATAACAGACAGATTACTGGTAGGACGCGGATATTTTTTTTGGCTAGATAGGTAAATACATACTGATCAAGTATCAACCACATATACAATGGCACTTATTTTTGAATCCATTTTTTCCAATTCGGGAATACCTTGCAAGCTTCAGCAAGTGCCATGGAATTGTCAGCGGCAATTTTGAGTCCACAGACTTGATTAACCCAGTCTACACACGTTCCACTGCTCACAGCAGCAGAACTTACGGTCATACTAGCATACGATGTGGCTGGCAATACAAACGAATCCATAGCCGACGCTTTGTGTTGTGTACTGGGGCTATGCGTAGCACTGCCACTGGGTTTCGGAACTGTCTTTCGCAGCAGTGCCTGAGATACAGGAGAGCCTGGTAACGATTTACTCTCCGAGGACAAGAATTTTTCGGAAAGCATAGTCTTACGCAAAAGCCCCTGGCCTGCCGGCTTTGGCGAACTACTGGCGCTGGTTGATATTTGGTGCCCCTTCGAACCAGTCTTTCGCAGTTGTTGGGGCGAAAAACTCTCCGTCTGGCTTAAAATGGAAGGTCTTATAATTGCGCTAGTCTTGGATCCCGTTTGGACTGTATTCCATGACTTCTTAGGCTCGCTTGGCTGAATCAGAAAGGAAGGGAGTAAAGCGACCACATTAGTGTTAGCTTCGACACGCTCAACTATACTAGTTTTTTTTCCAGTCCAAGTTCGATATGGGACTGAGTAAACCTAGTATGTAAAACTCACCTACTTTGATGGTGGTGCATGACTACTCTATCTATATA